AAATTTCTTCTGAAAGAATGAAAGCTCCACCAAGCACTAGAAGAGGAAGTGAACAAGAGTTTCCCCCCCAAAAAACCAAAACTACATCAAACTGAACAGCAGACTAGATTTCTCCATAAAAAGAAGGAAATAACCTCATAGAAACATGGAAATACTAACTATATTTAATAGAAACTCCTTAAGTCCCTAGACTGTTTTTTTGCTGCTAGACTCTATTTTTTGCAGTCGTGATAAGAAAACCACACTAGAACATAACACGAGAACAGCTGTACTGGCTCATGTCAAAGGTATACTTAGGCCTGGGCAAACACTATGGGCATTTGGATCTACTGGTTTCAGGTGATTAACTCTAGTGCCTAAGAGATAGTAACTTGTGGATTACCATACAACTTCTTGACATGCTCATGACTTTACGTAATTTCTATCACCTTCGTTTCCCTTCTTCTAGAGAGCATCACAGGCAGAGAAGTCGGCCAATTTAGTTACTCTTTGTACCAAAGCTCTTGTCTCTTTCTGATTTCCCATGCAACCCCTATGGATACCTTTTCTATTTTTCAATATTCCTGTTCAGGAAGATAAGAAAAGACATGTTTTTTCCAAGCACAGATGCAGCAGAGATATGAACAGTGAAATAACAGTGACCTGTGCTATTTCCTGCTGTAATGATACTTAGGAAGAAAGCTGCAGTGTATTTGCTTTTTAACTGCTGGTGATGAAAGAACTGCTGGTTCCATAGAATTGACTACTGTGAACAGTGAGACGGAAACATCAACTCAGAATGCCTACGTAGAATTTAATACTTTTTTGGAAATCATACAAGATCTCCCTGATTCACTTGTTAATTTCTTCAATTAAGTTCTTCAAAGAACTCCAATGTATTCATGACAAATGGTTTCCCCTTACAAAAATGCATGGCAATTCTTCACCACTCTCACGATAATTCACACATCAACCAATTCTCTTCTTTAGACAGTATTCCATCAGTTTCCTTACAAGGTCACCAGGCTTAATGGGCAGAAGTTTCACCCATCTTTTTAAAATGCAGCACTGCCTTCTTCCATTTTGCTGATATTGAGGATGTTTCAGGTGAGAAACTACCCACCACAGTCAGTTATTTCTACCAAATTTAGCCTCTTTATAATCATGCTTCAAACCTTTAAGCAAACCCTGACCAGCATGATATTTTGAATGCAACAAATCCTTTAAAAAAACCAATAAAATATGGCTGCCTTATTCCTGAAGAAGCATTATATTTTCCTCAAAATTATAAACAGTCTATTGTCGAGCCTGACAAATTTTAGCCCTGATATAATGACATTTTATGGTGTAGTTTCTTGAGAACTGTCCAGACAAGAAACATCTGTTTAGTCCCATTAGAAACTTAAGCCTTTCCTTCTAGATTTGCCTTGTACAAGACACTAATTTTCAAAAAAGAAATGTAAAAGATTTGCATTAATTCTGGGCTTTCCTTGATTGTATCAGGTGCTGTACATTAACTGCAAGCACTATGAACGTCCCATTGTTTCTCCTGATTAGGCCTATTTTTCTAATATATAATTATTGTCATTTGAGCTTTTTTAATAACATCAGTTGTACACTGTAAAAATGTAACAGCTAGTTATATGTAATCGGCACACTGCTAAAAGTCCTGATTTTGAACCAAGACTCAAGTGTTTAGGTAGTGGATTAACAGAATGAAAAAGAGTGCATTACCCCACAGAATACCCTGTCTAATACAAGGCAGAGTGGGAATAGAATGGGATAATGTGATGATATTTATCCACACAGGAGAAAACAGTCTACACGTAGTGGCAGCTTCATAGTTTTTAAGAAAAGCAAAATTTTAAGAAGGAACTTGGAAGTAATAACAAAGGGCTGCTTTACAGATATTTTCAAGGAGTCTTCCAAGTGTGAATTGTTACATAGGAAAATTACAGGAGGTATTTATTTGAAAATATAACAAACAGACTCACAGAATCAGAAAAGACAGTCTTTTAAACATCTTCAGAGACAAGACATGTTTAATATCACCCAAGTAGGAGGGAAGAGTTTGGAGAAGATAAATCAGATTTGTGCAAAATGGAAAAGCAAAGCTGGAATGTTATTTTTATGGCATTTCAGACATACAATTTCAGATATGAACAAGACAAGACTGTATTTATCGAGCCAAAAGGTAAAAAAGTTGCATAATAAAACTTGACGTGACCTGAGTTTTACATACAGATGTATACAAACAACTATCTATCTCCAAGATTCTAGACAGGAAGAATCTTTTAGAGACAGGAGAAGCCTGAATATAAAAAATGATAGGGGCGTGCAAGTCAGGGAGTATGTCTGACACAGATTGAGCTAGAAGCACACTCAAGATGTGGTAAAGCTGCATATTAGCAACACTGAATTTATACTAAGTCCAGAACAAAATACATTAGAGACAGATCTTGGTTTTAACATCTGGAGTTGGTGACTCTGGATTATAGACAGTAGCTAAATTAACATTTGCAAATGCTGTTAAACCCATAGATCAGGTAACAGGAAAAGTGTGATGTGGATTCAGGACAGAATGCTGTAGATGAAAGCGTTGAAAAGGAGTATCTTGTAAAGAACATGCTGAAGGATAAGGAGAGAACAGATGCAAGGAAATTGTACTGCAGAATACATCTTTTCCATTGTTTTAGCCATTCAGTCAGATGATTTCATTATTTAGATCAACAACAATTAGGCACCAAACAATTTTTTCAATCTTGTGATATTTAACCAAATACTTGATGCAAAGGAAGGACTCCACTGAGTTAAACAAGCTTTGAATCATTCTCTGTCCTGATCTCTCAAATCTGACAAGTTTACTTTTTACCCATAAAATTGTCAGGCAGCAACTTCCTCAAAGCAAATCAGCACACTAGACTATTGTTAGTACTAATTAACTAGCAAATCAACAGAGAGTTAACAAATTAGCATATCAGTTTCCCCAGAGCCAAGTAATTTATTATTTTAGTTTCAGCAAATATCCCTGCCAAGTAGAGTGAGGCAAGTATCTGACGCCTTGGGAACACAGTTCTTCATATTTGAAAATAAGAAGATGCAATCTACATTTTTAGAAGCTCTCGTTTGAATGTCAGAAAATAATAAGCCTTTTTTGGATATGAAGTTAATAATTTTTTTTGAGCTCAAAAGTAATATGTGGTTCCACTTGCATGCAATTTTTTCCCTTAATCCATCAGAGTTGGCTTAAAACGTATGAACCAATGGTTCAGACTCCATTTTATTCAGAGCAGAAGGATTTTTAGTTGATAAAGACCAAAGTTGCAAATGTATCCCTACCTGTTTTTCTTAACTAAGAGGAGGAAAAGTGGTATTCTGGCTCAGCTCTTCAGTTTTCTATTTTTTCTCACAACCTATACTGTGGAATGTGGAGTAGATAAGTTGTTCTTTGGAAGCCATATTGAGATTTATAGTAGTTTTCAATAATATGCTATAATTACTTTCCTAGGGTAAATTTTATTTTTTTTGTGCACTAAAGAATTATTTTTAAACTGTTGTGTTTTCTTGAGAAGACTATAGTTCATTTAGGCAAGCATATATTTTCTGTACAGAAAATGAGAATGTTTTACACATATCTAGCTCCATAGCTCACAGATCACACACTTACGCAAGTGGAATAGGATTTTACCAAAGGCAGTAAATATTTCTCTACTGCTATGAAATACTACATTTTAAACTGTTAGGCATTATCATTTTTATTTGACTAAAATACAAAAAGTAAACTTTTTTTTTTTTTTTGCAGACAGAGGGCAGGGGAATCAAAGGATCAACACTGCGCAAACTCAGATGCAGAAACACGCCACACAGGTAACAGCATGAGTTTTGATTCATTTTCCCAGCTTATAGTTGCAGCAGCTGAAGGCACTGCCCTTGACTTTTTGTTGCCATCCCTCTGCCACAGCTCACTGCCCCTGCAGCTACGTGATGAGAGCCGAAGTTTGCCCAGCTCTGGACTGCCTCACCAAATACTCCATCTCCTCAGCTCAGCTCTTCCTCCACCTTCCACTTAGAGTGAGATGATGACCTCTGCACTGCGGGGACCGGTGACACATAAGCCTTTCCTGCCAGCTCTGCTGTGTGGGCAGTAGTCTTCAACTAAAGAGGACTCCCGACAGATGGGATGACTCTGTCCCAACTAACTTTTTCTGGATTTGCCATAGTCATTTGCCAGACACCCTGATCACTGGTTATTCTCTTTCA